GATGAACTTTAGCGAAGGAAATTATCGATCTTTTAAACGCAATGAAGCATTGAAGCATTTTATATTGTATTTAATAATGGCTTGATAATTTAAAAAGTTAAATAAAGTAAATAATATGATAAGGCTTCGGCAAAACCGCCGTTTTTATTATCAGTGATAAGCCCAAAAACGATTATTAAGTCTTTAAAACTTTGATATTACAACAATATCGAAATCGTTTTAACACCAATAATTTGAAAATAGGTTTTTTATAAATATACTATGAGATACGATCAAACGTTTCTTCATAAATTCTTATAATCTTTAAAAATTTTATAAATTTTTTTTTCGAGGCATTTTATCAATAATTTTTGAAATTGTAAAAAATTTCGAAAATGTCGAAGAATTTCCTTTTCAGCATTTTTTTTTTTTTTGAATTAATAAAATTCGTCTGATTACAGCATTTTACAGACAATTTTAATTTCAAAAATTTGAAATTTCTTAATTTAACTTCAAAATAACTTTAAAATACTCTAAAATAGATAAATAAATAGTTGGAGATAAAAAAAAGATAGGAAATCGCTTCCACTCTATTCAAAAAAAGCATTCACTTCGAGTGTGATTCTGAAGATGGTCTATTCTGATGGATATATGTCTAGAATATGGAAAGCAATACCATCTAATGAAGAGCTTTAACAATACCTTTTAGTATAAGAGAACAATAGCTGCAAAATGATGAAATTGGCTGAATTATAATCATAAGCCTTTAAGTCTTCTCCAGCATCACAACTTTAGAACCGATTTATGATTCTTTCTTTTTTTTGGTAGCATAAATTCCGTCCTCCTCTTTCACTGACAAAAATACCATTAAATGGTGCAGCAGGACGATTGTTAAGCATCTACCGACATCTTCAGATTTCCGATAGCTTCCGATTTGAAGGCAACCAATTCATTTATTATTATTTATCAGACAGATTCGAAATAGATAAATTTCAGCTTAAACTTACATACTTCTTTTGCCTTTTTTTTTCCTTTCACATTTTGCAGAATGTCACCTATCTTTAGTTATTGTGAATTAATTATAGTCGATCAATTATAATCTTACAAATTTCTTATTTAAAGAACAGCTGCAAGTTTCAAAAAAAACAGTGCTTTTTTTTCTTTTATTTCAGTTTTATTCCATAGTATTACAATAACAGACAAGCAAAAACGTAATAATGTAAGTATAAGCATTGTTCTCAATTTTCGCTTCGTTCAAAATCTTTTGTTTCTTCATAGCCAATTTAGGATAGAAGAAATCAATAAAAACGAAATTTTCTCTTAAAATTAACCGAATTTCATCATCGCAATCGAATTATTAGTGCAAAGGTAATATCGAATTAAATCGACAAAATAAAATTTTATTTAATTCATGTAAAAACTAAGGGAAAATATAATTTATAATAGAGAAATGATAATAGAGAAAAAAAAACGAAGATTCGTATATAAAAAATTCTTTCAAATAATTTTTTGTCGAAATTTTTACTGTAAATTTTTTTTTTTTAAAGAATTATGAAAAAATTAAATAAATTATTAAATCTAATAAACGAGACAATACGAATTATTTGTTTAATTTAAAATTCGATAATAAAAAGTTGAAAATTTCTTAAATTTTGGATTTCTTACTGAATTATTATAATTGTGGATTTTAAAAATTTCAATTTCTTCAATGATTTCTTATGAAAAAAAAAAAAAATGAAAAATATATTATTTCAATTCGAAACAATAGATGTTCGCTTAAGATCAACAATGATTGTTGTTTCTAAGAAATCCGTTTACTTTTATTTCAGAGGCTTTTATTCATTCATTTATTCTCTCTTGATTACATATCTCATAATTTATCCGAAAAGTTTTAAATCCATAAATTATTGAACGCCATTACATAAAATACATAGAGGATTAAAAAAGAAATGACAAATATCGAAATTCAAGTGAAGATAGTTTAATTATAAAAAAGGTCATATGGGTCAAATGCTTAGTACTATAATGACAAAATGGTAGAGCAAATCCTTCTAATAGTATTAAATATTGATGAAGAGATTATTCGAGTATGCATCATGCCATAAAATTGTCATTCGATAAGGAACAGTAGTGTTGTTGTTGTAGACCTCATTAGGCGATTGTATGCTTCCTACTGAATAATTCAATTAATATTTTAGAAGAGTTGAAAGGATTTTCGATTTTTTATAAAAATTTTGCAAGAACTATGAATGAGAATAATGCCAACTAAGAAATTGGATAGATAAATAAATGAATATTCAAAAGCAAATCTCTAGTGATCCATCATCGCCTTTCTTCCTTATTTGTAGCGATTTAATAAAACTGCTGAAATTTTGATAACTTTAATTTTTGACAATTAATCATTAAACGATAATCGATATAGCTTGAAGAAAAAAAGATGTTATTCGATGATTTTCCTTCTTCGATTACATATATCATTACATATATCCACGCAATTGATTTTTAGCGTAATTTCCTTGAAGTCCAGCGTACCTACAAATATTTTATCGATAATTATTATCGATGAGCATTTTGCGTAATCCATCAGACCATAATATAATCAAACTGAAATAAATTTGACAATAATAATCGATCATAGATTCCTTTTATCTTTTTAGTCGTTTACGATGAATATTTTAAACGAATAGAATTTTTTTATTCGCTTCTATTTTATTTTTGATTTGATTAGTTCCATAGGTTAATAGGCTGAAATTTTTTCCACGAGAGGGACAAATATTTTATATTTTGCATAAATCAAACTTTTTTACAGTTGGTGTTTTGGACAGGAGAACAGCATTTATAAAATCAAAAAATTTTACTATTTGTTAGGCCATCCATTCCAAAAAAAGTCCATTTTCTTCGCAAACAAAAAATTACCTTCATCAATTTTGCTTTGAATTGAGATATTTAAGTGAACATGGCTGTTCACCTCAATATCTCCTACAATATTATCCAGTAATAATGTTCCTATTGCCCCATATATTTTAAGCCTAAGTCCCATTCCTAAGCCTTATCGAATATATGATACATAATATATATACGAATGTTTTTTTCCGTTTTTCCGAAAAGCGTTCTCTATTTTCGGTTGGGGTACTCGTCTCAGGCGGCTAGTCGAGCCAGGCGAATTTCGCTAGGAAATCACTTGGCAAGCAAAGGTGAATTGAACATTAATCGGCACCAAATGAATATATGTTTCTTTAGAAAAAATTTAAAGAAATGATTTGTTGAAAATTTCGACAAAGTCCATGAATGAATTTTCAGGAAAATTTTTTTTTCCTAAATGCTTATTTGCTTTCCTAGCGCTCAAATATTTATTTAATTTCACTTGGAATGTTGCTCATAAATTTATTGGAATACTTAAATCAATGCAACAAAGACTCATTTATCTTTCTAATACCAAGGATAACGAATCAATACACATAGTTAATCCTTTTATTGCTTATAAACAGACCAAGTGATGGCTGAAAATATTACATTTTAGATTTTAAATATTTTAGATATAAATTATTTAAAGAAAACCAAAAAAATCGTGTTTTATCGGATTGTATAAAACTATCGTTTGTATAAGTTCCACAGTTTTAGTTTCATTTAAAAATAATTAAAATTTTTTTTATTCAAAAATATCGTATAGATTTTATTTTTTTGGAAACATCGAATTTTTCAAAATTCGATCTTTTTGAAAATTCAATTATTTGGCCAAAATCCAGTATGAGATTATAAATTATCAAAGAACTTACCGTGGTGGGATTTCATATTTAAGAAATCCAAAAATAGGATCTTTAACGATATGTTCATTATCAATTTCATCCTCTTCTGCTCTAAAATATTATTAGTTTATTTATTATTAATATTGCTGAATATTATAATTAGCATATAGAGAGCTGAATATTATTACATCTGAGATCAAAATTTAAATCCAATTTTCAATTTAATAGAATTTGCTAGAAGGCTGCGATGATCATCTTATGTGTAAACAACGACAGATCTGCTTTCTCTCGTACCGCTCAAACTCGAAATCACCTGCTTGGTACCATGAATTACAAATTAATCGAAAAATAAAATCGAACTGCAAAAATCTTTTATTTTCTTTATTATCAGTTTTAAATAATTATATAACCCACTCTATTTTGTAATTCATTTCTTTTAATTTTTCTTTTGCATAATCAAGTGCAGGTGAATCTGCATCATTGAAGTAGAACTGCGCAAAGAATGCGATTAGTAAGCAAGCACTACCTATCGTTATGAATAACCACATTTCATTCCAACTAAAATTTTTTCATCGGTTTTTATTAAATATTTAAAAGATATTCATATAAATGAGGAAGAAGCCCATGTATTCTTAAAAGATATAAAATTATTTCTAAAAGAATACATGCGGTATACTTGCCCTGAGACTTTTTGCTTTCGCTATTGAGCCGAAGCATTTATAAAAAATTTTAAGAAATTTAAGGTGGCAAAAACACAGTAATTTAGTAGGTTATGTAAGCATGATTTCCTTATAAAAAATTTCTATTTTTATTCTATTTTTATGTAAAAAAATTATTTAATTTTTAATATAAAAAAATGTTAGCAAAATTTTCAGAAATCGTTATTATACATTACTATTATAAATTGCTGAAATAGTCGAAAAATTATTAGGAATGATAAGAGAATGATTTGATTCGCACCTAATTCACTATTTTATCAGCAGCCAAAGAAAATTATGAACAACAATAAAAATTGGCTAGAATGCTAGATCTTTCACTATAAGAGTGGCATCACATTCTTCTTAAATCGCTTTCTTTTGGCAGTTCAATATTTTTTTTTTGTAAGAATGCTCACCATTTTTGGTTTGGCTTATTCCACTGGCTATTGCAGTAAATAAATTTTACTAGACAGGCAATTAGCGATAGAAATATAGGTGAATCGCTAGCATAATCCGCATTTTTGAAAAATTGGCCTACTCTTGCCAAGAGCGAAATTCTAGCATAAGCGCTACGAAATTAGATCAACAGAGTTTTTACGTTCTCTAATTCATAAATATATTTACATAAATTTATGATTAATGCATGATAATTTTGCAATAAACTCTTTAATATTTCTAACATGATTTTTATATTCAAATCATTAGCGCAACATGCGAAGCGTCCATATGCTTTGCAACAGCTATATCCTTTCGAACATAAGTATATATTCGGCTGAAACTCAATCCATCTACATTTCTTCAGTTTATACTAAATTTTTGAAAAAAAAATCCTAACAAATTCATAAATTTTTAAATTTATTGATCGAATGTGTTAAAATTGATGAAGAAAAACACGGTGCTGTAAAGTAGATTTTGCTAAAATAACATTGGTCAAAAATGCCTCAAGAGATTAATCGTAGAGGAAATAATAGTGCTAGAAATCATCAAACAATTTGCTTATCACATGTTGAATATCAGCAAAATTTCTTGTTTATTTGCTTAAAAGAAATAAGATAATAATCGTAATAAACCTGATATTTTGGCTCATTTTCGCGATATTGGCAAACGACTTTGGATTCATCCTCAAAGGAAATTACATAAAATACAGACACCACTAAGAGTAGTAGTAGCAGTTGGTGCATAATAAAAATGCTAATGTTTATATATAAAGCCAATATTTTTTTGTAAGAAAAAGAGAAATTAATTCAATGGATATAAAAGATTTTAGTAACTAGGATACATCGCCACTTTAACATAGTCCTATTTTCTATTAAAATTCTAATGAATCCTTCCCTAAATTGTATAAATTGTGTCAATATTCCCAGAAAAATAGATCTAATAGAGTAAGATCGTAAAATTTGGTAGAAATTGGTATCCACACGATGCAATTTGATGGAATTTGCACTGGTGAATGGCAGCGAGATGCTAAGCAGAAAATTATACCTATGAAAGACTCGATGAGTGAGATGCTACATGAGAGATTGTGGTACTTAATGGATCTGCATCATATCTACCAGTATAATAGAGTATGGAATCGGTCTAAAAACAGTGAAAAGAATTTTTTTTTGCTGTAAAGTTATTCATCTTATCGATTTTGGAAGATTATGTTTAGTTGCGGATGAAATTAAATTATAATCTTTTCCCATTGTTTATACAAATATGAACGAAGAGAAAATCTTTCATCTAGTCATCTGGTGATCAAAAGACGGCCTTAAGGTTGACATGTGGTGTGTTATTGTACTCACCTACAGCTAATAAATACAATCTGCTCTAGTCATAAATAGAATTCACCAGTCTAGGCGACCTTCAATTGACCTCTTCTGTTCGCACCAGACAAAGATCTAACAAAAGTTCAAATGTAATATAGTTTTTGTATAAATTTCATTTATGAGGGAATATGCATTCATTTGTTCGATGAAAATTTTTAAGTGCAAATTACAATTATAAAGCTTTGTTTACAATGTGCCATTTCGAAAAGTTTGCCGTTATTATTAAATCGGATTCATTTCGATATTTCGTTATCTTTAATGCCTTAGAACTAAGAAAAATTTCATTTCATAAATATTTATTTTTTGATGGAATTCATTTTTATTATTTATTTCATTATATATTGTTATTATTATTATATTTATTAATATTATTATTGTTATTATTGTTATTTTATAATTATTAAATTATAAAATAATAACAATATATAATGATTTTAGTTATCACTTTAATTTACCACAAAATCTACAAATTTTCATCGATTTTTACATATAACAAAAAGCAAATGCATATAAATCAAATATAATCACAGTCGGTTGAATTTCTAAATTTCACATTGCTTATCAAATCTACAATCACTAAATATTTTCTCTTGAATATTACATTACATATGTATATCGTTAATAAATCATCGTCCAAATTTTATAAAATTCAAAACTGTAATTCATACAAATCATTGGCCATGAATTTTGCGATTTTATCAGAAAAAAAAAATCTATAAATATTAAAAGTTTAAAATCTAAAAATTAATGGAAGTTAGTTGAAAAGTATTTATAAAAAATAAAATTTATAAAAAATTTTATTTGATTAGATTGATAATTGTCCGATAAATATTATAATTAATTTCATTTATCATTCAATCAAATCGCTTTTTATCATATTTTATATTTTATCATATTTTATAACTTATAATCACTTATAATCATTTATAGTATTCTTATTACTCAGAATTATTTCCATAAATTTTTTCACTTTCAATTTCATTTTTTTAATATTTTATTTTTTGCATCTCTATGAAAATGAAAAGAAGAACGAAGAAGAAGATAGATGGCGGAGAGAGAGTTACTCGAAATATTTATTTTTATGAATGACAAGAAATGTCAGAAAATGAAATTGACTGATTTACCATAACAAACGAATTGTTCAGTTGAACATTGCCGAGAATATAATGTATTAAGATTTGTTGAATTTGTTAGTAGTTGTCGTTTGGATGGCATGAACAGAAAATATGACGGAAAGGCTGTGCCCTTGGGAAACACCGTGCTCTCGAAAGTTATTAACGGATTCATTCGACGAGATTCATATTTAAAGCAATTGTATATTTCATATGAAATTAAATAATATAGGAAGGATTTTATTTATTGAAAAAGAAATCTACTCGATTTCTATAAAATCAAATTTTAATAAATAAATAAATATCTTTTTAAAAATATAAATTTATACAGTAAAATTTTTTACGAAGGAAATAAAATGAACTAAATAGTTCGTATTTAATATTTTAATGCATTTCATGTAGTGATATTATTTATCATGAAATCGGCTTTGATGGTACCGGAAATCAATTTTTCAAAATTTATTACTTCAGATTCTATTGTTTTGATATTTGATAACTATACAACTATTCTTCCGATTTAGCTTTACTTTCGATCTTATTTCTTTATTTATTGTATGCGACACATGCATAGAATATATAAAATATTTTTGAATGAATATTAGATAAGTACCGTACAAAGAAATGAATTTTGAAAAAGGAAGCTTCAAAATGAAAGGTCATATTCCCGGAAGGATGCGTTTCGTGCCATTCTTGTTCTCGCATGTTTCGCTATCCTTCAAAAAATCTATCGCTTAAATCTATCGTATACCTCACGATTTACGAATTTCTTAAGTTAATGTTAACTGCATTTGCTAAAATTGGAAAAAATCTGAATGCTTAGCTAGATAATTTCAAAAAAATTTAAAAGGCTTTTCAAAATTCAGTATAAAAGAAATTGAAATCGCGAGATTGTAATTAAATCAAGAAGGCAGGTTTGTCCAAAATTTTTAAAAGATTTAATATATTTTATGATTGGTTCGTCGAATAAAATTTCGTTTTTAGTAGTTGCTCTGCTGCAAGAAAATGCATAAGTGCGGTGCACATAGGCACGAGTCGGGCCTCTTGATAAGAATGATAAGCTATCATTATGTATAAAATCCGCCTACTCTTATCTCTAAGTAAGTATCTAATGAACTGTCGAAATGCATTCATTCTTTCAATTTTTTGTCGCCTGGAAATCATTTTTAAAAAATTTGCTCGAAATAAAAATTATTCAAAATTTAAAAAAAATTTCGAAAACAATATTTATTTAGAAGCAAAAAAAAAATTTTTTTTGATTTTTCGTGACTGAATTCAACTAATTTGAATTCGATTTGAATTAGGACTGATTTTTCGTTAAGAGAAAGTTATATACCTACTTCCTTCCGTATTCGTTTGTTGTAAATTCTATTGTTGACAAATTCGGCTTTCGTGTTGAGAAAGAATTTACAATCAATTTGCTATAATATTTTTCATGAGAGTATGAATTACTGCTATTATCACTAAGCTAAGCTAAACTGACTTTATTGTCAACTCGTTTAAGCTCCTTCAATAAGAAAATATGTTAAATACCGTAGTCCGCAGGGAATTCCGTTATTGCAATTGTACGATATCCGGCATCGAATAAAATAAATGAACAAAACGAATATGGAGTTACTTGCTTACTAAGTTACATCGATATAACAATTCCATTAGAGATTTGGGGATTAATCACTAACGAATTGTCAATCTGAATGAAAGAATGAAAAGCAATAGCAGATAATTTTCAAATATTTATTTAATATCGTATACAAAATAGAGCAAAATTAATCGAAATTCATGAGTATTTTACAAGAAAATAGTGGAATTTTTATAACTATTGGTCAAATCTACAAATGGATCGAGTTAATTTAATTTATTATAAAAATAATTAAAATATTTATTTTAGAGTAATTATTTGCGTCAACATAAGGCATTAGCATTGTTTAATAAAGCAGTATATTAACCATCATTCATCTTTTATTACCAATATTATTATTATTATTATTATTACTATTACTATTATTATTATCATTATTATACTATTATTTTATTATTATTAATCATTTTAGATTTTAGAAGGAAAAGGCTAAGATCAAAAGATCTAAATGATTGGCCTGACCAAAGCATATAACTTAGGCTCATTACAAATGAGAGAGGATAAAACAATATTTGTTAATCAAATCACAGGTAAATAAGTGCTTAACACTCACTCACTAATTCTAGACCAGGTTCGCTCCTTTGGCTTTATTATAATTGGAACTTTTTGCAAGAAAATCGCATCACTGCATAATGGAAATACAGTTAAGTCGCAGACATCACTCGGTTTTTAATTTTTTTTTAAGGAAACATCACCATTACTGGTTTGATTCAATCCACTGGCTTGTCGCTTTGTGTCAAACTTCGTTGGTAACAGAAATACAGGTGAGTGACCAGTATCACCCGGACTTTTGGATATATCTACTTCTGCGAAGATCAAGTCAGCATATCGAACTGAGCAATAATCTACCATTATAATAAGCCATTCCATATTTATTTTTTTACCTAATTATAAGGGAGCAAATAGGAAAATTTATAATTAAGAAATTAGAAATGTGGGTAGAATGGTGAACTTGTCTCAATGCAATAATTCTATAGCTAACAAGAGTAAACTTTTAAAAATCCGCATGATGGTAGCGATTCACCTATATTTCTAATCATCAAGTGATTTGTTATTTTTCATACATTATTTCCACTGATGATAATTATTTCCATTGATAAGGTGACAACGTTCAGGAGATCACTGTTAAGTAAGAATATTGCGACGGTGCCAAAATTTGCCAGTAAAGCTTTTTTCTTCTATCCAGGTGCTGTTTATTTAAAAATGGTTCCCATTTAGCGATCATATTAGATTGCCATATGCTATTATAATAATGCCATCAAATTAAGTTTATTCGACTATCATATCATACGATTATCATAATTGATTATTTCGCCATATTGTTTATAATTTCCTAGATTGTATAATATTGCATTGTGATAAATATCATAGCTAATAATCTATTACAATTTTTATTTATAATTTTTATTACAAATATAATTTGTAATTCGATAAATTTTAAAAAATTTAAAATCATTTCATTTTTATCATTAAAATCATTTTATAATTATTCAATTTTTTAATTTTAATTTTTAATTTTTAATAATAAATAATACTTATAATAATACTTTTTTAATAATACTAATAATAATAATATTTACAATATTTATAATAATACTTTACTTTTTAATAAATAATTTGTAGAGAAATATAATTATTATTATTTATTTGTTCAAACTAATTCGTAGTTTAACTATTTGTTTAACTATTTGTGGAAATGATTAAAATGATTAAAACAATGCTTGTGGCGCGAAATTCATGCGAACGAAATCTTCAGTGCCAACGTAATCGACGACATTCTATCGTATATTATGCGATTAACTAATTGTGTTGCACTTACTGCTTATTTCGATCTATTTTATGCATCTGTGATTATTGTTTCAAATAAATTATGCTCAGCAATATTCAGTATAACCAACACGGCAGCATATAGAAAAGTTTGCTAAATTTTTTACAACTAATATGAAAAAAATTGTAAAATATTTAGCTACAAACTTTCTTAATACTTTTGAAACGAAATTTACTGAACGGTAGGAATTTTCCGGACTGCAAATTCAGGATTTTTCGCTATTACGAATTTAAATTTGATTGAGCGGTTTAATTCGAAGTAGAAGTAGAGTAGGAAGAAGAGATGAGGGAAAGGGGAGGAAAATTGGAGGTGATGAGCAGTTGGAAAAGAGGGAATAGTGGAGAAGGAATTATTCGTCCTGCTGGAACCCATTTCAATTTGCACCATTTATCTTTTCACCGTTGTTACGTTTCATTTTTCGTAAAATATTTTTTTCATTATTTTTTTTTTTTGGTAGAATAGGATTCTGAAAAAGATTAGAAATAGATTAGGAAAGAAACGATTGAAAAAAAAATTATTTCTTTTTAGTTTTTTCTTTTTTTGGTTTTTTTTAATCTTTTTTTTTCTTATTTCTATTTTTATTTCAGATTTTATTTTTTATAATTTATTTTTATTATATTTAAATATGGGTAAAAAGCGCCGAAATAACAATAAAGCAGACCGTGATGATTATGCGTTTGCGCCTATGCGTCAACAATCGTCACAACAGTCAAGCAGATTTGGTTTCGTGTTTTTTATTTAACTCATTTAACTCATTTTTTTCTTTATGATTTTTTCATTTTTTTTTAACTCTTTCTTAGATTTTTGAATATTTATTTTTATGGTGCAATTTTTTTTTCTTTCCATTTGAGATTTTTCTGTTTTTCTTGTAATTTTCCAAATATCTCTTTTATTAGTGGTGCGCATTATTTCAAGTTTGGTTGGCTTCACTTATTAGGAGAATGAGAGCCTTTTGTCAGATAGTCAGATTGAAATGTTACATTAATTACATTACATTCCAGTTGTTCCCCAGATTTTAATTTTATTAATAGATTTATTTTCTGTTGAGAGTCCAAAATCTGACCTAAAGAATTTAAATCGCATTCAACTGAAGCTGCACAGCTATATACGATTTTACCACCCATATGCGTAGTTTATTCCATTCCATTTTTTTCGCTATTTTTTAGTTACTTTCCAATTTTTACTTCTAAAGTTTTTTAAAAAAATTATCGGACCAATTTTTTCTTGACAAAGTCTATTACTTTATAACCCTTTGATTATAAATTCATAATTTTTGTAATTGATGCTGTTAATATTTTGTTGAATGAATCGAAAATTGAGATTGAGAGAATTTAGATGTGAATCTCGAGGATGACGAGGAATCATTTGCGAGTAATTCATGTGATGAAGATCTTCAAAGTGTTGTTTCCGATTTTGGTTAGTATCTGGCGTTTAATTAAATTTTAATTTAATCTAATTGTTTTTCTTGGATCTAATTTTTTAAAATTTCTTTCTTTTTTTTTATTTAGTATTAATTGTTATTATTTACTTGATATTATTGGTATTATTTTATGAAGTTAAATATTCATTCATTGGATCATATTTTTTAAATAGTTGGTTTACCACTAAAAATTTAGGTTATGATGGTACTGGTAATGTGATGAATCGAATGGATGAATACATTGACCATACCCTTGATAAACGGTGATTTTTTATATAGAGTTTTTACAATTTTCTATAGGGTTCATTTTTATACTTTTCCTATCTGCTTTTAAGTTTCATACCAGTTTCTTTTGAGACTTTTTAAGTTTCATAAGTTTTAATGAATTCTAATCTTCTAATTTTACAACGATATTTATTTTGAATATGGATCAATTGGTAGTCATTTAAAACAGCCATCTTTTTCATCGCTGATTATGATTTAATTTTTAATTTTTAAGACTATTAACTTATGTTAGATTAAAATGAATGAAAAATATAGAAACCGGGTTTTTCGATTCGTTGAATAAAAATTATAATATTAAAGTATTAACAGATAAAAAAATAAAAGATAAGGAATGATCAAAATTATAAATAATCCTTATATATATTTGTTATTGTTGAATAAAAGATGAAATGTATGAAATGAATATATCAGAATAAAAAAGATCTAATAGGTTTAATAGAATTTTTTAACAAATTTATAAATTTTTTTGAATTTTTTTCAGTTTATTTTAGAGATTCAGTGCGAATTTTGGGTTTGAACTGTCTTATTGGACTGTTAAGGAAAGAATATATTGGCATGGACTTGTTAAAATGGAAAAGTACGATCATAGATGTTATAGATAAATTTTTGAAAAAAGGCGGTGATGAGGGTGTGAGGGCTGCTAATTTAGCTGCGCTTTTTTCTCTACAGCTAGGTTATTATGCTTATTTTATTTCGTTTATTCTTATCTTTTTTAAATGAAAATTTGAAAAATTTTAGGAAAAATAAATTTTAAATATAAATATATTTAAATAAATAAATATAAATAAATTTTAAATCTAAATTTTTTTATATAATAATTTTCTATCAAGTGATTGGCATTTTGCGGATTAAAAATCGGGTTAAAAATTTTCTTACTTTCACATACGAATCCTTTAGGATAAGAAATAATGGTTGTTGCCAGCAGCCACTGCGATTTATTTTTTAACGACGTTAATCCTATCAGTATTTTTTTTTAAGGTAATGAATTAAAAGACGAAATAGAAGAATTATTATCTTTTATGAGGAAAATATGTGCTGATAGCTCTCAATATGGACTTTTACGGTTGCAGTGTATAATTTCTTTAACAATTTGTACAATATTCAGTACGGCTGAATTGCAATCTATTAATGAATCTTTAACAATTTTGCGCAATTTATGGATTAATACGAAAACAAATGCGCCACTCATTGCTTTATTTTGTACAGCTATAGAAAATTGGATACTTCTAGTTGCTTTTGTAAATTTTTATCAAAATTAAATAAAAATATTTTATTGTTAGAGAGACCTTTATTCGTTTTGAATATTGAATATTTTTTCAGAATTGGCATATATCTCTTCAATCTGCGTTACTGGATCAGCCAAAACTAAGTAGCTTTATAGATGGTTCCCAGGTTCAGTTTTCTTATAGAAACTCATGATTTAAATTCACAATATTTTTTATTTATTTTTTTAAATAATTTTTATTTAAGAATTAAATATGAATTAAAGAATTAGTCAGTGTATCATCCAGTTATTAGATTATTGTTCTTACCTATTTTAAAAAGATATGTTAAAGGCAAGAATGCGAATTAGTGCTGGTGAAGTTCTAGCAGTTCTGCATGAAATGGCAGTTTCCCATTTTGGTACCGAATATCGCTTCGCTAATCAGCAAAATTTACTTGAGAAATTCGCTACTCTTTCAACAAGTTCAGCAAAGTATATTGGTAAAAAAGATCGTCGCACTCAAAAATTTTCTTTCAGACAATTATATAATTATATAGAAGTATGTTATATTTTTATTAACCAATCAAATTTTTTTAATCAGTTTTATAAATTTAATCAAAAATCTCATTAATTGCCAGGCCAACTTTTATTTTCATCGTATAAAGTATTCAGGAACAAGAAGCTCCATCGTTTACTATTAAATTTGGAAAAGAGGCGTTGAATCTAGATTCTTGTAAAAAAAAATTACTCTACGATATTTGTTGTGGTATTCTATGTGAAGGAATGAATGCACATTTGAAATCAAATCCTTTTCTCAGAGAAAGTTTCGATTTAGAAGCGATTCAGATTAACGTTTCTCTGCGATTAACAAAAACGGAAAGGGTATGTATACTAGCTAAGATTTTTGGAAATTATTTTGAACATTAGAAAAATATGGGAAAAATTTTTTAGTAAAAGGGATTTAACTTTAATGAATCAGTCAATGTAAAATTTTTAGATGGCAGCTTATAAAACATCGAATAAATTGAGATCAATGCAACGACAAAAGAAGAGAGATAAACGTATTAGTATAAATGATACGGGTTAAATGAAAAGTTAAACTTTAAACTGAATTATTCAAATAAATCGGAAAATAGTATTTCTTAATATAACGAAATATAAAAGACAAAGAAAAACAATTTTTCTTTGGTGAATTCACTTTAATTTTGTGGATTGTTAAAACAGATCTGTTATATCATTGTTTGTATCACATTTGCACGTTTGTTGAGAACATTTGCCTTTTTCATCGTTACGCTGCTTCGACTGAAAATGAATTTAAGATTCAATTTTCTGGATATCCCTAAAGAATTATTTGGAATGATATTCGTTATCAAAAGAAGTGAAAAATAGAACAATTGGCTAAATCGATTAATTACCTTTTTCACGCCGAGAGTTAGATCATTTGTATTTAAACCTTGAAGCAACAAACACGCTTTGCATAACTTTTGTGATGTAACATGACCACATCTGTTATTTTATTATCATTATGCATTCCAAATTTTCATGATGAAATGCTCTTAAATTTAAGATACTAGCTTTTTCTGATAGCACTCACCATTTTTCGTTTGGTTGATTTTTAATTTTCATTATCATTTCATTTCATTCTAATAGAATCACTTAGAGATAGAAATGTAGGTGGATCCTCATTGAATTTCATTTTTATCGAACGGCAAATTTACTCACGGTATAAGAATCGAATCTATGATGTGACCTGGCATTATCGCAAGCCATATGTACCATATGACCATGCTGTCTTTAAGATAAGTACTCTTTTATTTTCAATAAGATCTCCTTAAAATATTTCCTCGTAAAAAAAAAGATGTTGACAACCTGATGCATATAGACTTTTTAAAAGATTGCACGCTTTGTCGTATGCATAATTCGTCACCGGAACGGACTAAATCAAGAATAGAGAGTGGTCGTAATCTTTCTAAGGCTTTTATGTAATTCCTAAAAAAAATGGAATGTTATGGTTTTATAGGTTTTATCAATAAATTAAACTTTGAAAATATTGGTGAATTTGAACTCGCCTGACAAAACCACGGAATGAGTTTGGAGCATAAAGGCATTCGGTGGAAAAATAATCTAATTTCTTGAAATATGCATACATAACAATCTCTTTCTCTAATGTATATTTTAAGGGTTTAACTCGTTGTATCGATTCTTCGAAGACTAAAAATTTTTACTTGTTTTGTGGGTGAAAAAGAAATTGAATCAAAAGTTCAATCTATTATTCGTGAAAATTTTTCCGCTAAGACGATAAAATATTTAAAGTAAACCATGTCCAGCGTCTGTGTTACGCTGAAGTCTTCCAATATCTCCTCGCAGTATATTAAGTAATACTGTTTCTGCAATATCATCCGCGTTATGTCCAGTGGCGATCTTATCTGCTTTTACGAGTGCGGCTCCCCTATAAAAATAAAGAAAAATAAAGAGTTGACAGATGATAGATATTTAGCAGAAATTATATTTCAGTAAATTGTATTTTTAAACCATTTTTCATGATAAAATTTGAAAAGATAGAGAAAAAAGTCTAACCTTTCCAACGCTTGTCGACGAAAAACACCGCAAAAAGTGCAATTATTTTTCTTTCCAATTTTTGCCACTATCTCGTCCATAGTCCATCCATAAAGCTCTTTATAACTTAAAATTTTCAGTGGTAAGCCATATTCTGCTTGATTTCGCTCCACTGCTTTCAAAGAATCATCTCGATATCCCTTAAACCAGAGACTCTCAAATTTTTCGCTATAAGGACTTTTCACGATCTTAAAAATTAATAGAGATTCCCAAAAAGGTTTTTTTTATATGACAGGCATCAATTAATATTTACCGTATTAAAAACTGAAACAAAGAAATAAGAAATTTTTACAAAATATCAACTGTTGTCCTATTGTTGAATTTCTTTTTTGTGTTTGGTTTCATAATAAAAAAAAAGGCAAATAAGGTAGTATTTTGTCCTGGACGGTTTGAATAGGTCGGTGAACCAAATTTCGAAATCATAATCTTGGCAATTTAAAATGATTACTAGCCCTTCTAATGACATTGGTCCTTTCAGATCAATTAAACCCCATCTTATCTGAGTTCATCTATGTTCAGCGCTAATTATACCATTTGTAACTACTTGTATAGCACGATAGAGGAAAGATTGAAAATTTGGTAGTATTTTTATGGAAAAAATTATAGTTAAAATTATCCCTAAAATTTGCTTATGGTGTTATTATTCTCATTTCGGAATATTACTATTAGGGTTCTAAACCCAACGAATAAAACCCATTTTTCAAAATCAATGATAGCGATTAGGCTATAATTTAATGAGCAAATGATTCCGTGATAAACTTGCGGAAAATGGGTAACCAAGTGAAAAAAAACTAATAATTTCCTCAAATGAAATTATATAACGGAATTTTGCCTAAAATTTCAAAATATTCCTGTATTTGTGCAAAAATTTTAAAAATTAGAAGCGAGAAAAAAATTTGGTAATGATTAATAATAAATAATTAAAGTATATTTAATTACCTGTATTCCTTCATCAATTGAAATGAGAACCAAGTTCAACCCATAATTGTGTTTTGTATTAAGAAATTTCATAATATAAGCAAGCACAGTGGAATCTTTTCCTCCAGATGCTCCTAAAGCCACAATTTCACCTCGTTTAAAAATTTTATTTTTTACAATCGTCTCGTGCACATTCTGTAAAATCTTCAATGAGAATGACCAAAAATTATTGAACCACAGCGAAATTTCCTTAAAAAAATCTTTCTTTAAGAAAGAAAAGGAGAAATCTAGAAATCTCAATTAATTAAGTTCTTCAATGCAATGGTAAAGATAACTTAAAATTAATGTAAATAAACTAATATTACTAAAAAAATTAAAATAGGTATCGCAAAATGCGACGTTTTTTTCTAAAATTATTATTTCAAACTGGTGACTCCATCAAAAGAAAACTTTCATTAACTTAATCGATTCTTTGCTTATTCCATTTATGTCATATGTCAATAAAAGAACAAGGTTTTCTAAACTATTAACGCGTGGCAAGCAAGCATCATTCCACTGTTTTCAAAATTATTCTATGTTTTACAATAGGCAAAGATAAACTGGTAACTCGTTCCAACTACGCTATGCCTTTCGGTATGCTAAGTTTTCTAAAGTTCTTGAAGCGCGGATATAAATGGCTTTTATTCTTAGAGGGCTTTACAAGAGATAAGGTGGAAAATCTGGCGCCTATATAAAATACCATACAGTGTTGCTTCAACATAATTAAGATGACCAACATTTTCAAATTTCTCCATAAAACACGTCCTACATAATGGTTTCTCGTCAATTGATCCTTTCACCGATGCCAGATTTGTACAACATACACACTGAGCAACCATACTCTCTGCAATATAATATGATAGAAACTAAATATATCTTTGAATTTCGATATTTGCTTTCCGATAGCCTTAAAAAGTTAAAATTCATCAACTTTACCTTTATCGAAGTTTTACTTTTTACTTTTTTCCAAGCCGAGAATACATCACAACCAACAAATCTTTTCAAAACATTTTCTTACTTGAACCAAATCTATTATAAAATTATTTTAAAGGCCTTTGAAATGAAGCATCTCCAATCATTGAACGATTTATTGCTTCTATTGATAATGGTCCTTATATTATGCAACATACCTTTTCCTATCCTACTGTTATTTACCTTATAATATGAAAATATGACCATGAAATCAGTGTTTGTGCTTGTTAATCGTTTAAGGAGAAAAATATGGAACTCGAAATTCGAAAAATAAGAATTGTAGAATAAAATAATTCGTATAAATTAATATTTATTTTAAAATTTTAAAAAATTTTTGCAAATATAATATAGATAGATTGAAAATCAACAAAAAAAGCTCGAAAAATATTTCTATAAATTTAGCAAAAAAAATCGTCGAATGAAATGCCAAAATCTGAGCTCAATTTAAAAATTATAAAATAAAATATGATAAAACATCTATAATAAGGATCGAAACTGGCAAAAATAAAAAATTATTTAAAAAAACTAGAAACAATACAAATATTTTAAAGCAATATTGATTGGAAAAATTAAAAAATTATATTTAGATATCGAATATATATGACTTTATGCAAAGCACTTCTAGGCTATTTCTATTTTCTCAAAATTATTTTTTTATTAAAAATGAAAATGGAAATAACAACCACTTATGATATAACAATATATGATAATAAGATAAGAACTTCACCAAAACTGTACAAAACAAAGTCAAAGTAGCACAGCGTCCTATTTGCTGGAAAGATTTTGATTTTGTTTTGCAAAGTTGCGGATAAATAATTTCAACATATTTTGTTGAGCTGACGTATATCCATGTGGAGATGAAGTTACCTGAATTTAAAAATATGAAAAATTTTGAAAACCAATTATTGTATTAAATAAAAATAGGAACAGAAGGAATTAAAGAAAACATCTGAAAACAAAAAAGATAATAAATATTACATCACAAATATTAAATATTTTATAGTTAAATAAAAGGAAATTAGAGAATAATTATTAATTATAACTCCTCAAAGTTTTCTTTTCCAACAGATCACACTGATAAAGTTCGTTAATCTGGATTGTTCAAACAGATAAATTTTTCCAAGGATTTATCTAATAGTAGAAGTATATATGAATTATATCACATAAATTTACTCTTGCCGAGGTTAGAGCTCCAGCATCGATACCTCGAAATTAGAGAAGCAACATATTACGCCATTCTTATTCTACTCCATATCTATTTTTATTTTCTAAAATCGTTTAAAAAACCAAAGTGGCGAAAAAAAACGATTTATAACTACTCTCAATGAAATTAAAAGAATAAATAAATTAAAAGATCTACATGTTTTACAAACTGTTTTAAAATAAAATTTTTTTCGAAGTTCTATTTAAATGAACTTAGTCATTGAAACCTATGAAAATTTTCTGCATTATATTAAAAAATATTATAAAAATAAAAATAATGTAATTACAGTAATAAAATTAATAATAATGTATAACAAATATTTTGCTAACTCTTTTTCTTTTACAGTAATAAAATTAATAATAATGTATAACAGATATTTTGCTAACTCTTTTTCTTTTGCGGAACTGGTTAAAAACAAAATATTATAGGAACCTGATTTATAATTTTTATAAGATTAGTTTTCTGTGATGGTGAAAGGCCTTTGGCGAGAATTTGACGTCGTTCATATAACTGCTTAAACAATGAGGTAAATCGTGAACTTTGTTCCATTGAACTGAATAATGAAGAACGAGGATTCTGATCTCTGAAAAATCAACACAAAAAAAATCCAAAAAACTGGCGTGTAAATAAAATTTTAAGAAATTTGATACAAACCATAACCACAATTTTATCCACATTTTATTATATATAAAAGTAGTTTAGCAAAGTAAACATTCCGAAAATAAATAATTACCTTTTATGAGCCTTTCGCTTTCGTCTACGACTTCGTGATGGAAAATCTTCACTATCTGATGAAGATGTATGACTTGATGAAGATGAAGCTTCCGATGAACTTTCTAACATTTCACCTTCTTCAAGCTAAAATGGTTGAAAATAATATATAAATGAATGAAATGAAATATATAAATAAATGAAATAACTTGCAAAATCATTAAAAATTTTCGGAAAAACCAATGTTTCAAAAATTAATTAAAATAAAAGTAACGCCAGCAAATAATTCCTAAACATATCTCAGCACAAAGCTATTTAAAACAAATTTATAACATACTTCTTCCGCTGAGGCCTGTAATTCAGATTGTAGAACGCTGGATTCTTCAACTGGTTGAGTTTCTTTAATTTCACTGTCAACTATTGGTTCTTCTTTATATTTTTCTGCTGATGTTTCTTGCAATTTCATCACTTTTTCCTGCCCAATCTTCTCACGTAATTCTTTTCTGTGACGACTCCTTAGATAATAAGTAATAGTAAGTGAATAAATAGCAAGAAAATATAAAACAATAAAAAGCCATATGTGAAATAATTTCGGTTAAATACCTAATTTTTTGGAAATCCGGCTTTATGGGACATGGTAATGGCAATGTAACCACTTCTTTCTCTTTGTTAAACTTTCTCCACGATTCGAAAGTTAACGGTTCTCCTTCGATTGTGAAAATTCCTGAAATTTCACAATAAATTATCAAAAAGAATAAATGAATTACGTTTTGTTAAAAATAAATTTTACCATGCTCATCTTCGTCGACTTCTAATTCCCCTTCTTCTACTGCCAATGTTGTTCGAACTTTCTTTAGCGACTCGCCGACACACATCATTGTAGTTAATGCTCGCTTTTTTTTATCACTGGTTATAACTTTTTTTGGACTTTGATTATTAGGAGGAGAATAAGGAGCAGCAGACATCATAAATGCTGTAGGCCGATGTGCTGTTTTCGTGCTTTGTACCTCCCGCTTCCATATTCTAAATTTATGTAGAACGAAAAAACATGTGCAAGAAGGAAAAAGATGAAAAAAATAAGGATTAAAAATGCTTAAACTATTGCTAAATAAAAAATTAGAATAAAAAAATAAAACTTTTAAAATAAACAAATCTTAGATATAAACTGTAGGAAAAAAATTACTTAATTAAATCTTCAACATGTTGACGCATCCATTTGCTGGGCAAAGTTCTGAGATATTGTTCAAGCACCATCAACAAGCCCGGTTTTAATAACGAATCAGGTATACCTTTGTGCTGATGGCTTACTTCGTCACACAACTTCCACAGCTCATCTACTTCATTTAATTCTGCCCAATTCGTACGAGTAGCATCAATGTGCTGATAATATTGAATTCATTGAACATACACAAAACTTTTTTAAATTTTGCGAAATTTTGAAAAAAATTTGTAAAATTTCTTCCAAATAAAAAATATAATTAGAAAAAAATAAGAGAAATTTCTCATAAAAGTTATTCAGGTTATTGTAAGTTATTCAAAATAAAAAGAAGGCAAAATGTGACTCGAATAAACACTCTGATATTAACAAAGAAGATTTAATCATAAAATAAATAAATGAATATTAAATTAGAGAATTATCAAAAAAAAAACCTGTTGCAGAAAATTAGCAACGTCTTCAACACTGATTGATGGCGCTGGGATAAAAGAAGCGGAACCTGGGGACATAACTGACGATTCACTAGACGTCGTTGTTGCACGCAAACTATGTGCCTTTTCGCTTTCCTTTTTCATATGAGATAAATATTCTTCGGCTGTTAGCAATCTGAATGTATATATGTATGAAGAAAGTATATATTAGATCTGTTTCAAAATTAACTTTTAGAAAATCACTTCATTACAGACTGACGATCGCCTTCATCTATCTCGAAACCATCAGCAAGTTCAATTTTTGCATCATTTGCTTCATCAGCTGATCGAAATGTGATCTACAATACGCATTTAATGAATATATTCCGAATAAATATTTGACTGAACGAAAAAAAATGGAAAAATACCTCGGCTTGTTTTTCATTAGCAACAAATGGATCCATTCCAATATTAATAATTTCAATGCTATCACTTCCAAGAATTGATGATAATAACATCTGATCAGTTGAAGAGGTTAAATGAATAGCGTATAAACGCCTTGATGAATCTGGATCCGAAACATTAATTTTGAATGGTATAGCTGGCAAAGAACGAGCGAAATTAGCATTTGCCATTTCATCGTCTATAAAAAGATATTCACTTGTTTAATTAAAAAATTTAATTAAAAAATTTAATTTTCTTCAAAATCTTTAAAAAAATATGTTAAAATCATACAATAATAGAATTTCAACAAAAAATTTTTCAATTTCGACAAAAAATTTTAGAAGCTAACAGAAAGGTTTAGAAGCTTGCAATTTAAAACCATCAACCGCCATTCTATGTATAGCTGTAAAAGCAGCTTGAGCTTCTTCGGTTGTTTCGAAAGTTATACTTGCACCACCACTTTTACTTCCATCTTAATTTCATTGCTATATATAACATTAGATAATTAGATATTAAAAGCGAATTTTTTTTTAAGAGTCCTCACCATTACTGGTTAAACTCGCTCCGCTGGTTTGTCGCACTGGACAAAACTGGCCAGGGAGTTTCTTGGCGATAGAAATACAGGTGAGTCGCTAACATCACCCGGACTTTTGGACAGGTTTAATCCTGCAGGGAATCGAACCTCAGCATCGGCGCTCTGAATTGAGCAAGAACCCACTAAACCATTCTATCCCCATTAAAAGCAAATAAAGATATTGCAATGAGTAATAACAAAAAAAAATAAATATTAATAACATCATTTATAATTTTCAGAAATCATTTAAAATATTATCGAAACAATATCATTAATACCAATTAACTAATGCATAAAATGAAGCAAAACCTTTCTCAGTTTTATCGAACCATACATGAAACGATTCGCTCTTTGCAAGAATTCCTCCAAGTTTTTCATGGTTAATCCATTTACCAGGAAACCTTAAGCCAATTATGCGAAATTTGCGTCGCGAATCAGTTATATCGCGCATATCTGAATTTTAAAACTTTCAAAAGCAAATCAATTACGAAATTAAAAACAGAATTTATCTAAATTTTCGATTTTAGTACCTTTTAATGTACACAAATATTTTTTGCAAAAAACTTTCATTTGAAAATCGAAAATATTTGGACCATTCGAAACATTAAATTTAGAATATTTCAGACATGAAATTCTTATAACGAAATGCAGTAAATTAAAACTACAAAACTTGCAAAACTTTTTATTTTCAGATTTTAGATTTCTATTTTTTTTTGGAAAAATTTAAATTTTCTAATTTTTAAAAAAATCAACCATTCGCACAATTCGTTTTTCCTTTATTACTGTAACAAGAATCATGGTCGGATTCTTTTTGTGGTGTTGCATTATTTTCAAGAGAAACCAATGGCAATTCGTCTGGAGCAACGAATGACAATGATGATGCTTCAGCAAGTGTTGTTCCAGTTGCTATTGTACCAAGTGTTGCACCATTACTACATTTCTTTTCTGCATCACTTGAACAATCCAATTCGATATGTGCCTCGGAATTCTCAACAACCTCTGTATTGCTTTCCATATATTTCTAAAAAATCTCAGAGATATTCAATAAAGAAATAGAAGAAGAAATTAGAGTATTAAAGACGTAAAAACGCAAGATAGTTATAATATATGTAGCTATGGCTTCATCTCTGCACCAATTGCCGATTCACCTCGCTCCACTGGTGACTGGTATGATAAGCGATGGCTGGAGAAAACATCGATTCGATTTTTGCCTCTCAACATACTATTGTTAAATATGACGCATGGATGCTGATGATCCAGAAGTGCCTTTCTTGAAAAAGAATCCCATCCTGGTAGAAAGCGCGTTAAATAAGAAATTCTAAGTGCTAATTTTCGAGAAAAATAAGATATAATAAAAAATATAATAAGAAATAAGAAAAATAAGAATAATGATTCTATAGGTAATAAATGAAAAAAAATTAAAAAATAAATATTATAATAAATTTGGTTGGATCATATCGTTGGATCATGTCGTTTATGCGATACTCAGTCTCTATCGTTCGTAAAAATCTTCAAATTGGAACGAGAAACTTTGAAATACCTTATTCTAATTACCAGTGAGGAAAACAGTGTGAAGCTGCAAAATGATTTTTTGCAGCTTCAATGATTCTTTGCAGTAATTCGTAAAACTTAACTTAATTCTAAGTGTTCATTTTTGTATTATTTTATTTTCACTATATAATAAAATAAATGGCTCGGTGAGTTGTTGCTGTTATTTCACAAAAATGAGCGTCGATTCCGAGGGCTCTAAGAATAAAACTATTTTTCGAAAATTCAGCTGATGCCTTTGATTTACCCGTACTTCTATCGTCAAGTGAATTCCTATGATAAAATGATAAAATATGCCTGATTTGAGCCAACAGAGAGAGAGCCTATCAGTGTTCTCGGAAAAATAAAAACAAAATAAAACAAAATAAGCTCAAAATTCTAACAAATAAATATTATTTATAAATATTATTAATTGCTAATCTTTCAAATAAAACCTCAAAAATGGAATTCACTTTATCCATTGAGAGATAAGATCTTCGCTCTTACAAAATTAAACACTAAATATAACCAACATTGATAAAAGCAACAACAAACACTGATAAAAAAAAAAAGCGAATCACTCTTTTGAAGGTAAAATATTTTTATCACCTTATCTAAATTCTCATTCTCTATCCCATTTCGAAATCAAACTTTTCCTCATAAATAACTAACTTCAAATTTTTCTTATTTAGTAAATTTTTTCTATTTCACCGAAATTAGATGAGTAAATTTTTCTTCCTTTTCCTCCCTTCATTAAATTCCTCGAAATTCCCCTCCCCACTTCTCCTCGGGGTATTTCACTTTCTCCCCCCTTCCTCACCCATTCGCTTTCTCTTATAGAAAAAATGATCGAAAAAAAACTGGTTAAAAACTGGTGGCAAAAAAAAAAATTATCAATCGAAGCAATTTTAAAGTTTCGATAAATCGTTACCAATATAAAGTAAAACGCGACGCTTCAAATGGGCGGTGTTTTCTGATTGATTGTATTAATGTCACGCCATATGCCTCACCCAGATTAGGTTTTTTACCTCCTCTTTTTCTCCCTCTAACTGCTATCACTATTACTGGTTAGGTTGGCTCCGCTCGCTACGAGGATGAAACATTTCGAAGCTATGCGGTTTGGTTTTTTGCCGATTCAGTGGTTTTTTATAATTTCATCGGGGTTTTTATATGTTTATCGAGGACTGATTGGTTGTTGTTTTTGGTTTTTTTAAAGTAATGAATTTTTAAAAAAGTTGAAATTTATTTATTTAGCTTTAATTTATTAAAATCAACAAAAAAATTCAGCTTAAAAATTATATTTTTTTTATTTTTTTCGAAAATTTGAAAATAAATTTAATTATTTAATCGTATTTTTAGGAAAAGGAAATATTTAAATAAATAAATTAAAGAAAGTTAAATCGATTTAATAAATTATTAAAATCATAAATTATTTAATATTTAAATATTTAGCTAATTTCATTACTTTACTATTTTAATTCACTTTGCTTTATTGCTTTATTTTACTTTACTTTTATACTTTCAAGTTTGGCATTTCCTAATTTTTTTTATTTTTAATTTCAACCTTTCCCGATCTTTTTATATTTTTTTTCGCTTTAACTTTATTTTTTATTATTTATTTTATTTTATGTTCAGCCTATAAATAGTAATTTTTTCGGCGTTAAATATAGCCTTAATTGAATAATTAGTCTAGTAGTGCGCAGCTATTTGCAGCTACTGGAGGTGTACGGTCTATATACGGTCTAAAAAAATGAAGCTGATGAAAATTGGATTGGATCAATGCCGGTTGAAATTAACATTGGAAATTAACATATTGGAATAAACTTGGCAATATTACAAATATGTTTTATTCGCGCAACGTTCTGAGGATCATTGACGTTTGACGTTCATCGAATTATTAAATTGTTAATATTGACGAAAATTTTAGATTTAATGTAATGCATCCAGTTTCGATAAATGATTTAAAATTAGGCGAGACATATTTTGTTCGGCGACGTGGTAGCGAAGTTTTACATCACGCATTACTTATGCAAGATCGTGTTGATATGAATACTGGTCGGAAACAATTTTATGTACATTATGATGGCTGTGATCGTCGTTTAGACGAGTGGATTGATTCAGAAAGGATTTATATGGATTGCGCATCACAGGTTTTCATAGCTTTTATTTTTATATCACTGTTATCATTATTATAATGTATATATGTATATATATATATATATTCATTATTCATCATTGTTATTAATCCCATTAATTATTTATTTTACTTATTCAGTTCCTTTTTTTCTTTCGATTTTTTTGTTTACAATAAAATAAAATTCAAATAATATTTTATTCGTTTATTGTGATATATTTTAAAAAATTTATTTAAAAATTTATCTTAAATTTTCACAAAGAATGTTTTTCATTTTCTAAATCTAAATCTTTGTTTACTAAATCTTTGATATTTGATAAATTTGATTTGATAAATTTCTTTATTTCAAACATTTTAAATTTATTTAACTTTTCTCTTTTTAAATTGAATGCTATTTTGATTTTTCTCGTATTTAGTAAACAACTGGAAAAAAATTTTAATTCTGAAGTGAGAATTCAGAAATCGTTAGAAATTATTGTGGACGATTTTCTTCTAAATTCATTTTAGGTTGAATCTTCAACGAAACCAACTCGAATTAGAAAAAGACGTTTAGAAGAAGATTATGATCTCTTATCGGCGCAAGGTCCTGAGGATTTTAATGAATCAAAAATCCTAGAAAAAGAACATGAACAGGTTTGTTTTTTCCATTTTTTCTTTATCTTTATTTTTTTTATCTTTGCCTAATAAGTAAAATGATTGGTAAAATGATGATGTACGGTTTTTGTTTTCAACATAAGTTGGACATTTTTTAAAATTCTCTCTTCTTCTAATTGAATTTTAGAATTTCGCCCTGCAAAATTTACCACCTTTTTTTCTTATTTGTATAAATCTTTTTCTTTGAATGATTTGGTTGATTTCGGCCATTAATTGTGCATAAAATTGCATCCTATCAGAATTGATTCAATGAAGCTTATATTTCATTGGTAGAAGAAATCTAATCAACTTTTATTACTTAGACTATTATTATTTCCTGTCCTTAATGTGGTAAATCTGCCATTAAAAATAAGATTCGAACGATGCTTGAAACCCATCATAATTTCAATTTCAGCTGCCTCTCTGGCAAAAGAATCATATTTTAATAATTAATGCCTAAATTAATGTTGGCTTTTTATGTTCTTATGATTATTGTTTTATCTGAAAACTGTGGGATTTTTTTGACATGGAATTTTACACTTACACTTAAGAATTACTCCTATAAGGAACCAGCCTTCATTTGCCGTTATTTTAGGTGACAAAAGTGAAGCATATTGAATGGATTCGATATGGTTGCTATAAAATCTACACTTGGTATTTTTCACCATATCCTGATGATTTTGGTAAAGCATCGAATTTATTTGTTTGCGATTATTGTATGAAGTATATGAAATATGAACGCAGTTATAGAACTCATCTTCATGAATGTAAAATGAGGAAACCTCCTGGTATTGAAATATATAAACATAAAGATTTAGCTATATATGAAGTACATGGCGATGAAAACAAGGTAATAATCTTTCAAAATATTTTGTCTTTTGTATTGCCGAAGTTATTGTTGAAGGTTTTAATGTATTATAATTTCAGATTTATTGTCAGTGTCTATGCCTTCTTGCGAAATTATTTTTGGATCATAAAACTCTATATTTCGATGTGGAACCATTCGTGTTTTATGTTCTTTGTCAGGTTGTTTGATTTTTTGGTATTTAAATATACAATATTTAGGACTGTCTTTATTCATTACTTTTGAGATATATATTTGAGATTTTGATTTTGAGTTTTAAAGCCATCCATAATTAAAATACTTAGTTCCACTTAACATTTCAACAATTTTTAATCCTTAGTGAAAAAACCTTTCATAGAAATTTTCTATTTATAGGTTGACACTGATGGCTCGCATATGGTTGGGTTTTTTTCAAAGGAAAATGGAAATCTTGATGGAAATAACTTAGCATGCATTTGTATTCTTCCCCCTTTTCAACGATGTGGTTATGGCAAATTGCTTATACAATTAAGTAGGCCATTTTTCTTGATTATTTTTCTCATTGTTTTATGTTCAAAATCATCTTTAAAATTGGTTTTCTTTTTTCGAATAGTTTTCGAATATAAAAATTGCAAAAAATCAGTTTCACTTTATGCATAGTAATTATGTGAAAATAAATCCAGTAGAAGCGAAAAAAAAACGAAAATGAATAAAATTTTTTCATCCAATAAAGATATCATTAGGCTATGAATTAACGAAGCGAGAAGGTAAATTTGGTTCACCTGAAAAGCCATTGAGTGATCTTGGTCGAATTAGTTATATTTCGTATTGGTCATGGGTACTCATAGAAGCTCTTCGAAAAAGTAACATGGTTATTATTTCCGAATTATCAAAACAATCCGGAATAGATCCGAAAGACATTATCGGTTTTTTTTTAATGTTACTTTTCATATTGTTTTTTTCATAATTTTATTTTATTTGTAGTTCTCATGTGGTTGTTTGTAGTTCTTATTTTTTAGTTTTTTTTTTCGAATATAATTTGATCTTCATCTTTTAACAGCATCCATTTCATTGTTTGGCTTATTTTATTGATTGTTTGGATAAGATATAGAGCTTTTGCCCTATAGCTACATGCTTATAGAGGTAGCAGAAATAAGCCTTCAACAGCTCTCCATGTTTCACTTTTAATAACATCGTTTTGAAATTACGGAAATCGATTTTAAAACTTTTACTTGTAGCGTATTTGCTCTTTATGTTCATTTATTGTTTCTATTATCATTATTATTATTATTATTATTATAGATGCGATTTGTGATTTAAAATTAATGCAATACTGGAATGGTGAAGATGTACTGTATATTACACCAAAAATATTGGAAGAGTGTCGAAAATTAAGAATAATTAAAGAGCCACGCCTTATTCTTCGTGCACGTTCGCTTAGATTCGGGTCAGTTTCGCGATCTCATTGATTTTATTTTACCTATTTATTATTCATTTCTATTTTACACATTACATTCTTGTCTAGTTTGTTAAATTTTTATTTTTCATTGTAAATTTTTTTTTTTCAGTTATTTTAAAATTATTGTTTTATTGACAATTGATGCAATATTCTTTCGAATAACGCCTATTATTTTTGATTTAGTTGTCGTCTTCACTGACTGCTAAGATAATTCTCTTTCGTTATACATTCATATAGGTTTTTAGGTAGTGAATGTGAAGAGGCATTCGACTATTTTTGAAGATTAATGATTTTCTTTATTGATGTGCGTATTATCGCATTTTGTTATGCAACTTAAAAGTAAAATATTAGTTATAAGTATATTAGAATATTCATTTATTAAAATTATTTATAAATTGCTGACAGGCTTATTGATAAATTTTATCACTTATTATATTTTTTAAATTTCATATTCATATTTATTAAAAGATTTACCCATTTTAAAAACTTTTTTTATTGTTTAATCAATCCCTACGACTGCAAATTTCTCGCATATTTTTATTGTAACAAATCGTTTGAACAGGAATTTGTTTTACCTTATTTTTCTTCTTTTTCTTTATTTCGATTAAATAAAACTTGTTTTAGAGATTTTAACGAACTACGCTTTTCTCTCTCTTTTCATATTTTGCATTAATTTTTTTTTCTTTCTTTTTTTTTATTGGCTGATGCTATTTATCACGTTGAAATTTTCATTTGAAATTTTCTTTTATTTAATGATTTGATAATAGATAAACAGATAATTTAAAGGATTTCTTACGTGAAAAATGTAAAATAATTTTCTAAAATAAAATTTAAAAAAAATGACGATGTGTAAATAAAGTTGAAGGAAAAATTGAAAGAGAATCGAAAAGTGGGGATATTTTATTTCTTTTTTTCAGGATTTCCAAATTTCAACAATTTTTTCCTTCATTCGACACTAATTTAATTTTCTTTTTTTTGGAAAAAAAGTAATCTATCTTAAAAGATTCCATGAAATCAACGTTTTTTTCTTTCAGTTTCATTTCCTCACAAATAATGAAATTAATTAATATTTTTTTACTTTGAAAAATTTTATTACACAGAAGAAAAAAAAATGAAAAATGAAGGAAAAAAATTTTTAAAAAAATGTCATTGAACTTGAAATTTGAAATTTTATTTGACATGTGAAGTGTATTTTGCAAATTTTGCAAATAAATATTACATTGCATTGGAACATGTTTTTATTTTTATTATTTTTTATTTTATTTTATTATTTGCAAACAAATATTATCACATTGCATTAAAATATATTTTTATTTGTATTATAAATAAAATTTTACTTTGAAAGAAAAAAAATTAAAATGCATAGAAAATTAAAATTTTATACTTTAATAAATAATTTATTGAATAAAAAAAATTCGTTTGGAATTTAAATTCAAAATTCAAAAATTCAAATTCATTTTTGCATGAAATTTTATTTTTAAAAATTTTTGAATAATTGCTAATAATTAAGATTGTTTCATAAATGTATTTTTTAATATAATGAAAAATAAATTGAATTTGATTTTAAAAAAATGTTAAAAAAAAGTTTTTAGATTTTAATGAAATTATAAAAAATGGTTTGATAATAGATAATCACTAAAAATTTGGATTTGATAATAATTTGTTGCCGGTTGAGGAAATGCTTGACTTTAAATACCTTGGATCCACTCTAATCTCAAATGGCAAGGCAAAGGACTATAATCCGGATAACGACAGCTAGAAATATGTTTTTGCGGTTGATGAAACCTTTATGGAACCGTTGCGAAATCACCGTAAAGACGAAAATCCGCGTCCATATAGCTGCAATTTGCTCGATTCAATTCGATTTTGCTATATGTGGCTGTGGCCAGTGAGAGTGGAAGATATTAAGAAGATATTAAGGTATCACCCTTTGGCTACTCATCTATAATCGCCCTAATTATATCTATCTTTGTTCAAAAGACCTATCAATAATGTTAATAATGTTATCACAGAGCGTCGCCTTCGCTGGTTAGGGCACGTTCTCTGTCGTCCACTACAGCAGCTGACACATATTTCGCTACTTGCTGAACCCTTTGATGGTTGGCGTCCCAGCATCATCCGGATTTCTGAACATGTTTATTTCTGCTAGAAGTAAAATCTCAATATCGGCACTCCAATTTGAGCAACAATCCACTGAACTATTCTACCCCATAAATACTTACATTTCATAAAAGAATAAATCAAAAGCGAGGAAGACAAATCAAGACCTGGAATGATGCAATCAGGAAAGAGATTTTGAACGCTTAGGGGAACCAGGGATATACGGATTTAAACGATGGAACAAAGAATGGCTTTTATTATTGTCAGTAACGGCGTCGGATCGGGCAGCTTGAGACGTCTTACCCTTGTAGCCAGCGGAACCAGCTCAACCAGTAATAGTGAGAGCTGTTGGAAGAAGAAGGTAATATTTTATTTAAAGACAACTATATTCTGTTGAAGAGAAGGAATTCCTCTCAATGAAAATTAGAAAAGGACAAAATTCTGCTTAGCTATTTTAGTACTTATATTTTTATTACTACTTATTACCTTATTACTTACCTTCATATACAACGAGTATTCTTTCGCTTTCAGCCTTTTAACTGTTTGAAAATATCTGAAGAGATTTTGGCTTCGAATTTCATTTTGAATCGCAAATTTATTTGAAATTTGCGAAGAATTCTCAATCGTACTTAATTGCTTCAAAATTTATTGATAAATATATGAACAACGAAAGATGACCTAAATTTTTAACTTATTGCCTTTAGCTCTTTCTATAGACCAGTTTCGCCTGAAATCTTGAATTTTCTTTTAAAAAATATTTTGCTGATTCTAGTGCGATCCATGAAGCAATAAATTCATGCAAGGCACATTATATCACCACTGGTACATAAATAATAGAATTGCTGTGTTAATAATGATAATAATACTAATAAATAATAATGATAGATAATTAATAATAGTAGTAACTATAATAATAATAATTTAAGATGACCCAAATTTTAACGTATTGCTTCTAGCTTCTACAAATTAATTTCACTAATTTCACTAATTCTACAAATTAATTACAAATAATTAATAAAATCTTGAATTTTCTTTTGAAAAATGTGAATAAATAAATTTATGCAAGGATCATATTCTTGGTATACAAATAATAAAATTAAGATATAATAATAATTGATAATGATGATGATGATGATAAATGATAGTAATAATAATAGTAATAATAATAATAACAGCAATAGTAACAATAAATAGATAATAAAAAAAATAAATCGCCTTTATTTTAGACCATCAATTAAAAATATGTATCGCTATTTCTTTATTTTCTAAAAAAAATTTCAAAATGTTATAATATTTCAGTAATTTATGGATTATATATAATTAGTTATTTTTCGCATTTTTTTAATCAAAAATTAACTGAATTTACTATATAAATATAGAATTTTTTAAAAGAATTATTCATTTTTCATTTAAATTGTCCAAGATTTGGATTATACTTGGGACCATAAAAAATGATGGGCCCATCTGTTCTCTCAAACGAGTCTCTGTTAAAAATTTTTCACTGCATAAATGGAGAATGCAGAAATAGGAAACGATAATCGCCTACTTATTATTTTTATTTTAATCATTGAATATTTTTTTTCTTTTTTTTTTTAAATTTAACGGATTTTATTGTTTCATATTTTAGTAGATTTTGTTTTTTTTTTTGTCGATATTTTCCAATAAAATTTGTTATATTGATATAAAATTTTCTTAAATAATTGAATCGCAATATTTTACACTCTCAAATATTTAAATTAAATGACAAATTCGTGGTGTAACACAGCCAAATATTAAGAAGCTTATTAATCAATTTTTGGCCACGGCCAAGGCTACGAAAGTGAGAAATTATTAAGAAACTAGTAATTCTTGGTCATTCATATCCATATTTTTATACACATTAGCAGAGCATCGCCTAGGCCATATGCTTTCGTTCATCCATCGCAAGAATTGACACACATCTTATCACTTCCTATTATTGATAGCGTCAAAAACGAGCAGCACCAATCAGGTCTTAAATACTCAGTGGGGGAATCGTTTGGGTATCTCAGCATGTTCGAGCGCAGAAAGTTGATAAATGAGTGGTTTGTATTATTCTTAAATATGGCATCGGATCGAGCAGCTTAGAAACGCCTTAGCTTTATAGCCAATGGTACGAATTGTTAGAAAAAAAATACAAAAGACAATAAATGTAAATTTTTGAAATATTCATATAATTAATAAAAAGGAAAAATGGATTTTAAAATGGGGAATTTAAAAAAAAAAATCACAGAAAAGGAATTCAAAAATTCATAAAAACGATGAACTATAGAATTTAATTAAAATAGTAAAATTTTTGCGTGAAATTAATAATAATTTTTCTTTTTTTATGGAAGAAAAACGGAAAAAAATTAAATAGAACATTGTCATTGAAAAATTTTATGTAAAATTTTTAAAATTGTGCAAAATAAATAAAATTATTGAACCGAAAAACATTTATATAATCGTTTTGGTAGGTTAGTTACGAAAATTACACTTATTATCATCATTAAAATAACGATCTTCACATATTTGTCATTATCGTCATTATATTATTATTATTATTGTTATTATTATTATTAATATTATTGTTATACATTATACGTTATAATAATAATGTCCGGATGATAGGGTAAAAAATCAGACGGGTTAGTAAAATATTACGCTATTCAAGGCTTTTATTTAAAATTGTGGTACCTTCATATGGGATAATATTGTATATATAATATTATTATATATTGTATAATATTGTATATAATCATAGAATATTGCTATATGCGTAATTTAATATTAAAAAATCTCTATTTTAGGTAAATTAATTGATTATTAGTGTAAGATAATTTTATGAAAGGTAGGTATCATCGCGTGGATAAAAGTGGATTTCGAGCCCTCGGATCTTTTCAGACTTTATAGCATTTTTATTTTCTAGAAATTAAGAAATGAATTTCGAATTCATGTTTTATGCCGTTCGTTGAACACATCAATCTTATTATTTAACATTGTTTTTTGTTTTTATTTTAGTAAACATCGTAATTTATCATTTATGTTAATCTGACATTTATCGCTTATCATTAACGAACGAAAGATTTCCTCCATTTTAATTTCACTT